TTACCCCATTTAATTCTAGCCTCTCCGGAAAGTGAGTCATGTGCAGATTCAATGCTGATTCTGCTCTTTTAGGGGGGATGGTTTGAGAATACACTTTATAATGATTGGTACAAGAGATGCTGGGCATTTTGGATGTTAGAATATATGATTCTACACCATAAGATAACTTGGGAATGTGACTCAAGTCTAAAAACTCCTGCTCATTTTATAGAAACCTTATACATCTAGGCTGAATGTAATTTTATGTGATTTTAATAATTGCAGCTTGAGAGGAAAGCTCATGATATAGATTTTCCCAACTGTGGCATCATGTGGGTATTCAGAAAGTTTCAGAAGCAGTTTGAATTTCATGTATTCACATGAGGCATACTCACATGTATTAGTCAAGGACAATGGGAATGTTACATGGCCCACACAACTTCCTTGTCTGCTCCAACAAATAATTCATGTGAGAAAGATAAGGTCCACAATGGTGGCCATGCAAATCTTTAATGGAAAAAGTACATAGGCAGTGTGGGGGAATACAGGTCTTCAAGCCATGGAGTTATGGTTCCTTTCACATACACTTTGTATGGATCTGTGTGGACATGTATGTCTCAATGTGTATATCTCTGCATGTGTTTATATTTTCCTATGAATATCTGTGTGGTACTGAGGTGTAATTTTCATCACATCCTTTGGTTGTCTAATATTTTGCATTAGTGACAAGTGATATCAGCTTCTGGAGTTCACAGCTAATACAGTGTTTCTGGGCATGACATATCACAGGGAAAAGGTGAAGCTCTGGGGGAGCTTTGAGGGCAAGATGACTTCACCTGCTAAGGCAGTTGGGGTGGGTCTGAATGTTCTTCGGCTTCCTTGAAAGTCTGAGACTGGCTTCATGTAGGCCTACCCAGGGTATAGTGCTGTGTGTTCATGGAACTGTGTTCAGTTCTCAAATATTGACAGGTTCCATCAGAAGAATTCAGGAATGGGAACTAGGTGTTGACTTTATCTCTTGACACAAGACCAAACAGAACTTAGAACCCAGGTAGCCAGGATACCACATTCCAAATCCAACCCCAGTTCAAGAGATAGTGAAGAAAATAGCATGTTTTATTGCTGTCTCCTAATATGTATGAGTCCCAGAAATCAGATACTTAGGATTTTCTGAGAGCACATGCAAAGTATTCTTGGTATACACTACGTAAATGTTTGCATTGTTGTGTGCATTGGCTTGATGATGGTAAACATTTCAACATGTGTGTGTATAGCAAAGCACAGAGTACTCCTTCAAAATATATACTTTAATGGGTCAACCTGAACTAATTAAGATTCAGAACTTTTAAATTGAATCTAAACATTCATAAATTATTTTTTGAGAGTTAGTTTAGAAAATGTTTCTAACAGGAATCTTCAGACATAAGCATAATAAAATGCATGCCTTAGAAAGTCAAAAAATTCTTCAGTGTTGTCATAACTAAGAAATAGCACTAACATTTCTAGTAGATGTTTAAAAAAGCAAAAGTTCCTTCTCAAAAATAATAAATTGTTAAGATTGTGATTCTTCATTTGCTAACAATGACATTGCTTTCAAATATATCAATTCAATACAAAGTTTTCATGACATAATACAAAATTCGCATAAACATTATAATAAGTGAAAGTACGTTTTTGATATGCTAACACTTCTAATGTATTAAATGAACACCAAAAATACTTGCTTCGTAGACTATTTTTGAGATTCCTAATGTATTTGGGTTGTATAAAGAAATCTCTCAAAATTCTGCAAGATTCTTTTTTTCTTCTAAGGACTTTTGAAACTTTTGCTCAGGGTTTTATCTTAATTTGCTTTTTTTCTGCTGCAACAGAACATCAGAGACATTACTAACAGTGGGAACACATTAGTTATTTTACATCAAGAGTACAGGAAGTCTAATACCCATGTGTCCATCTGGGGATGGCCTTCCTGTTGACTCACCCATGATGGAAAACAGGAGGGCAGGAGATGCAGAAGGCTGGGTTTGCAGGCCTTTGGTGGCAAATTTGCTTGACAAATACACTGCTGTTATCATCACTTTCTCTCATGTGGGATATTGAGCTTCTAGCCCAGATCTAATCTCAGGTTTTTGCCTGTCTTGGGGCTTGAACTCAAGGCCTGGGAGATGTCCCTGAGCCTGTTTTTTGTTCAACAGTGGCCCTCTACCACCTGTGCCACAGCTCTCCTTCTGGAGTTTTGGCAGTTGACTAGACTGGCAGGTTTTCCTGCCCAGACTGGCTTCGAACCTTGCTCCTCAGTTCTGTCACCTAACTTGGTAGGATTACAGGTATGAGCCAATGGCACCAGGAATTTCATTCATATATATGTTAGGTTTTTAAAAAGAGGTAGCCGAGTAAGAACAGCACCATGCACATGGTATTCAGGTAAGGGGTAGGTTTATTCAGTAGACCTGCTGCGACCAGGCAAGGTTGGCACTCCATGCGGCTGGCAAAAGGGAGCGTCTGGCCCTGGATTAGGCCTTATAGAGGGTGGGGGGGGGGGGGGGGGGAAAGGTGTGTCCAGGTAAAGGGAAGTGGGACCAGGTAAGAGGTGGGACCAGGTGGAAGCAAGGTGTGGTCACATCAGATTCAGCTGTGACCTCAGGGGGTGCAGATGTGACCTCTTCCAGGTGTCCCAGTTGCCTAGGTAACGCAGGTACTGGGCGGGGTCTGCTGCCATCCAGGAATGGACCTTACAATATATTCGTATTAAATATACTTATTTATAGTATTTAATTTTTGGTGAGCCGTGGGGTCTGAACTCTGGGCCTGGGCGCTGTCCCTCAGCTATTCGGCTCAAGGCGAGCGCTCTACCACTTGAGCCACAGCGCCATGTCTGGTTTATTGAAGAGTCTCACGGAGTTTCCTGCCTGGGCTGGCTTTGAACCGTGATCCTCCTTTCTCAGCCTCCTGAGTAGCTGGGATGACAGGCGTGAGCACCGGCACCTTCTTTACTCATACTTTTAATAATATAAACGACTTACACCTCACACCCCGACTTCCAGCCTCATCCTACAGCGGGACTGGTCCCAGGCCTGGATATCGCGAGATTTCACACGAGAAGTTGGAGAGGCGGGAATCGGCGGCGGGGAAATCGCTGAGTCACGGCGGGGAAGTCGCCGAGTCGTCGCGAGCGCCTCCTCGCTGGGCCGCGGCCTCGCTGCGCGTGGCAGACGCGGTGAGCGGCGCTGGGCGAGGACGCGGGCGCGGCGGGCGGGAGGAAAGGTAACCACTCACCGCAGGCGGGGTGGCTCCGGGTCCCCCCCTCCCCTCCCTGGAAGTGGGGACCGGGGCCGCAGGGGGCCGCCGGGCGCCGCCCAGGTCCCACCAGGGTGCGGGCCCAGCGCGGTGCGGGCCCCGGGGCGGTGCGAGCCGGGCGGGTCACCGGGGCGCGGAGGGGCCTTGGCGGCTGGGCTTCTGGGAGGCGCGCACAGACCCCGGGTGTCCGGGCCTGCTGTCCCGGAGCCGGGGGTGGGGGGGGGTGGGGGGGTGCGGGGGGTGCGGGGGTGCGGGGGGTGCGGGGGTGCGAGGGGTGGGGGGGGTGCGGGGGGTGGACGGCGCCGTGGAGGGCGCGACCAGGCCTACAGGAGCGTTGCCTACGGGGCCCCAGGGCTTGTGAGAAGCAGCGACGATTTAGGTACCAGACAAAAAGTCGAGATGGAGTGGGTGTGGTCGAGACTCCTCTCTTTTAGGACTTGAGGGGTTGGAAGGCAGAGTTGTTTTTTTTTTTTGTCGGGCATGGGGCTTGAACTCTGGGTCTGGGCGCTGTCCCTCAGCTCTTCAGCTCAAGGGTAGCGCTCTGCCACTTGAGCCACAGCGCCACTTCCGGTTTTCTGGGGGTTTATGGGAGAGAAGAGTTTCACAGACTTTCCTGCCCAGGCTGGCTTGGAACCGCGATCCTCAGATCTCAGCCTCCTGAGTAGCTAGGATTACAGGCGCGGCTGGGACAGAAATTTTTTTTTTTTTTGGTCCAGTCGTGGGGCCTGAACTCTGGGTCTGGGCGCTGTCCCTCAGCTCTTCAGCTCAAGGCTAGCGCTCTACCACTTGAGCCACAGCGCCACTTCCGGCTTTTTTTTCTTTTTGCTTATGTAGTGCTGAGGAATCGAACCCAGGGTCTCAGGCATGCAAGGCAAGCGCTCTACCACTGAGCCACCTTCCCAGCCCCGGGGGACAGAGATCTTAACTCACAAAACCAAACAAGAAGGGAGGCGGGGCTCACGCCTGTCATCCCACCTACTTGTGGGCTGAGATCTGAGGATCACAGTTGGAAGCCAACACCTGGCAGAAAAGTCTTGAGATTTTTTTTTATCTCCAGTGAACCAACAGAAATCTGGAAGCGGAACTGTGGCTTAACTGGTGGAACATCAGCCCTGAGCAAAAAAAAAATCTCAAGTAAGATGCCCACGACTCACTTTCAAGGGTAGGGGACACACACACACTAATCCAAAACAAATAGACTATGCATTCATACACTGTGAGAACGAAAGAGGATACTCACTCCAAGGGGAGGAACACAAAGGCGAAATGCCCATGTGCTCCTGATCATATAAAATATCAAAATGAAAATAAACGAAGAAGAGTGTCCTGCTGAGGACAAAATGATGTCTACAGTAAGTACTCAATTTCTGTAACAATTCTCCAAGGGTATTGCTTCAAAACTCAAAACGTGTTAAAACCCAGTCTCCCTTCCTTTAAAAAAAAAGTGTGTGTGTGTGAGTGTGTGTGTGTGTGTGTGTGTGTGTGTGAGTGTGTGTGAGTGTGTGTGTGTGTGTGTGTGTGTGAGTGTGTGTGTGTGAGTGTGTGTGTGAGTGTGTGTGTGTGAGTGTGTGTGTGTGTGTGTGTGGTGTGTGTGTGTGTGTGTGTGTGTGTGTGTGTGTGTGTGTGGCTGGCTCCTGGGCCTTAACTCAGGGCCTGGGTGCTGTCCCTGAACATTTTTGCTCAAGGCTAGCCCACTTGAGCTATAGTTTCACATTTAGGTTGATCAGAGTCATTTTCCTGCGTTGTCTGGCTTCAAACCAGGATCCTTAGATTTCAGCCTTCTGAGTAGCTGGAGTACAAGTGTGAGCCGCTGGTGAACAGCTATGTCTCCTTGTTTTCTGATTACTACTCTTACACTTGTGTTGAAGCTGTGGACTGACAGGACAGGGCATCTGGGAAAGGAAGTGTTGTAAAACTTGATTCCAGTCAGTCTGGCCAGTGTGTATGGATGACAGCATCAGGTAAGATGTCCCCTAATCATTTCTGGTTCACCACTGCCCTTGGTACTGAAGAGCTTGAAGAACTCTGAATTCTTACTCACTTAGTAGGGGAAGAAGAAATAGCAGTCTTTTTTTTTTTTTTAATTTTAATTTTTTTTTTTTTTTTTTTGTCGGTCGTGGGGCTTGAACTCTGGGCCTGGGCGCTGTCCCTCAGCTCTTCAGCTCAAGGCGAGTGCTCTACCCCTTGAGTTACAGCGCCACTTCCAGAAATAGCAGTCTTAGTTTCTTACATGCTGCATTTCCTCCAAAGAGTATTTTGTGCAAATCTTTCCAGGTTCTCCTTTATAAGAAGTATCCTAGTTATATTGGAGACCCTACTCCCAGAATGAGGTCATTTTCACAACATGTGCTCAGGGATGTCAAGCACTCAAGAGCTGACTATTAGGGGGGTCTGGGGACATAGGTTTTCAGTTCCGGAAACTGGGTTAATGTATCATTAATTTTCAGATTATGCATCATCGATTCCTGGCATGTCAGGTATGGCAGTTCTTGGCTTTGCATGGTCAGGTCTTGCCATCCTTTTCCATGAATTATGGGGGCTGTAGGTTGGCAAATCCCTCTTCTATGTAACAAGTTGTTTTGTCAATGATTGAAGTCCAAAGGTGATTGCTTATCAACATCGGTGCCATCACTCTCTGCCATCAGAGTTTTTAACTCCCTGCCTAAATTTACATCATATACAATTGCTATTTTGACATTGTTGTTGGTTCCTATGTTTTTTTTAAACATTAATTAATAGTAGTGGAACTTAGGGTCTGTTGCTCACTAGGTAAGTTGTTTTACAGTAGAGTCTTGCCCTCATATTTTTCAGATAGTGTTGTAGTTTTGCCTGAGATAGCCTTGGCCCATGATACGTCCATATCCACCTCTTAAGCAGCTTGGAATACAAGTGTAAAGTATAATGTCTGGCTAGAATTCTTTGTTTTCTTTCTGCTTTGGAAGTATTGGGGCTTGATCTTGGGCTTGTGCTTGCCAGACAGGTCGTCTGCTGAGCCTGGTTATGCACTATTCTTTTCTTGTGATAAAGTCTTAATGTTTGCAGTAGCAGATAAGGAAACCGTATTGGCCATGTGACATCCCAATTCTGTTGTCTGTGGCAAATTCAGGAGAACACTCCAGTTTAGAAAACCTAAAATGTGCTCTCTGTTCCTCTCTGCTCTCTCTGCTCTCTCTGCTCTTTTCTAGCTCTTTCCTCTCTTTCCCAGCTCTCTCTCATTCCCAGGCCTTTCCCAGCCACGTGGAGTGCCAACCTTGCCTGGTCCCAGCAGGTCTACTGAATAAACCGACCCCTTACCTGAAAAAAAAAAAAAGAAAACCTAAAATGTAATAAGCATTGAAATTGGAAATATCTCAATAGCTAACTTGATATCAAACTAGGAAATTCTACATGTGAATTTTTGTTTATACCTAGAATTATTTAAAATATCAAATAAACTAAATGGACTGCATTTACACAGGTAATTTGTTATAAAACTTTAAATATGTAAAAGACCCTGAATATCTGTATGTAAATTGTACCTAAAACATACATGTGTTTGACATTGCAGGAATCATACTAATCAGAATACCAACTATACATAAGGCAGATATTTCAAAATTGAGAAATATATAAAGCCCGAACCTTTCGGGTGCCAGGCATTTTTGAGAAGTACAGTCTCAACCTTTTCCCTACAAAAAGTTGTGTCTGCTTTTAAGCTCCTTTGTATTCACTTTTCAGGAAGGATGCAATTAGTGAGAAAAAAGTGGATTATGAGGTAGGGGCAGCGGTCATTCTGTTTCATTCAGCTCTAGGTCAGATGTTTATCCTGGTGTCGGTAGAGGCACAGATGTGGTTTTGTAGCCACAGAATTTAGAAGATAGTTTTGGCAGACTGAATTTTCTGTCTTGTTTCCAGACAAATGACATTGGCCCTGGATTGATCTATCTGAAAGGCAGAAGAAAATGTAGTTGCTCATGCTTAGCCTGAGACTGTTACCAACATGCCTGCATATTTCCCCAGCATTTTTTCCCCAACAGATTCATCAGGATGAGTACGTGTGGCCCACCAAGCCTCCTGGAGCTGGCTATACAGAATCTGCTGAAGGATGATGCTTTGGTCATTGCTGCTCTGGAAGAGCTGCCTGTAGAGCTCTTCCCACCTCTGTTCATGGCAGCCTATACTGGGAAACACAATGAGAGTGTGAAGAGGATTGTGCAGGCCTGGCCCTTTCCCTGCCTCCCTCTGGGGTCCCTGGTGAAGGGAGGACAGACACACCAGGAGAACTTCCAAGCTGTGCTCAATGGGCTTGATGCCCTGCTTGCTGAAGACATTTGCCCTAGGTGAGGAAGACCCAGCAGCCTGGAAGTCGTTGGGGACAGAGGCCTTTAGAGCAGGGGCTTGGGTGGTGCCAGTATGGAAACAATTGTTGGTGTCTCCTTCAAAGAATGGGCCACCATATAATGTACATGTGACTGAAGAAGCATGTCAGCATTCCTTCCCAGTATCACTTAAAGGTGTGGGAAATCACTTGTAGGGTATAATCTCAGTGGTAGAGCCCTGGTCTAGCATTTCTGTGGCCCTATGTTCAGTACTCATTAATACAAAGTTAAATATATGAGTAGATAACATATGATAACAAGTGATAGATAGACAACAATAACCTTAAGAGAGAAGAATTCAGAGAAAAAGCAAGATCCCAGGAGAGAAGTGGACAGCAGCTGATACCAAGGTTTTAGAGTTCATGTTTATTTTTGACCTTTACCTTCATTCAGAATCTCCTCCTTTTACTTTAAGTTAATAATCTGTTTTATTCACAGGCAGCAGAAACTGCAAGTGCTGGATCTGTGTCAAAAAACTACATGGTCTTGTAGTAGGAATGGTATGTGCTCACTGTCCCAAGCCATCCTGCCATTGATGAAGGTAAAGGTGGATGGATCCAGTATGGGGGCAAAAGAGCCCAGGGCTCCTCTGAAGGTGTTCATAGATCTCTACCTCAGTATTGGCAGCCATGATGAATGGCTCACATCTCTTATTGAAAAGGCCAAGCAGTGGAAAGGTTTACTACACTTATACTGTAACAAGTTGAGTATTTTTGCATTGTCCATGCAGAATATGAAGGTCTTGAAAGTTGTGAGGCTGTATTCTGTCCAGGACTTGGAACTGATCTGTAACTGGAAATTGTCCGTCCTGGGGAAGCTTCTTTCTCTTCTGCCATACATGGGTAAATTGCACAGACTCTTCCTGTCTCAGACACAGATGTCCCAGTGTAGTTCCTGGGAGGAGGAGGAGCAGTTTGTGGAGACATTCAGCTCTCAGTTGCTCAGTCTGCATCACCTCCAAGAGCTTCATTTGGAATCTATCAGCTCCCTTGAAGGCTCCTTGTGCAACCTGCTCAGGTGAGGGAATATTAAGTTTTCTTCTGTAGAATGGGACAAGTCTACTTATTTCAGGAAAAATAAAGCATCTCTGTTCTGTGACAGCCACCATCAGTGTGTCCCTGGATGTTAACATTTATCTTGTTCCCAAGTATGGCATCTGTACAAACAGTTTGGAGGCAATCTTTGTCCCTCTTTGGATTGGAATAGTACAATTGCAAAGACTGGATACAATCATCTCAAGTTATATAGAAAAAAATACATTTTGTCTCACAGATCTGAGGACCAAGGGGAAAAACATCTGGTGAATGCTGCTGTTCTGGTAGAATACCAGAGTAGAGGGTTTCATGGCTCAGAGACTGTATATGCTCAAGCAATGTAAGGACACTGGGTGTGGTAGTTTACACCTGTAATTCAAGCATTTGGCAGGAGAATTTTGTCTTTGAGATAAACTTATGCTACATAGTGAAATTCTGCCTAGAAATTAAAAAAGAACACAATACACACACATTCATACACTCAAGAGTTAGACATAGAGAATTAAATAAACTAGATTTTATAAAGGATTTATACTTTAGACAGCCCATTGATATATTGATCCAGTGATTATAACAGTACATGCTTAACCCTCTCTTAACAGTTCTCCCTAATCCCTTTTATTTGATCATAATGGAGATTCAGTGTCAATATGAATTTGTACTTCATGTGAGGGAGTATATAATGAAACATATCATTCTAGAAATGAGGGGGAATGAGGAATTGGAACTACTGATAGGTGGTTAAGTGATAATACAAAAGTCTAAAGTTGGTCCCTGCTGCTAGCAGACATTTTGAGCGCTGTTTACCTCCTTTGTTTGTACTCTATGAAGGATATTTAGCCTCATATACAAGGTAATACAGGTGACTTGGCTAACAATTTCTGGAAGAAACCCTGGTTAGTTTTAGTTGTTGTTTCTGTTGCTGCTCTTCTCCTCTTTGTTGTTTAGCTGCTGCTGCTGCTTTGTCTTCTGATGCTGCTTCTGCGCCTTAAGAAATTAATTTTAGGGCTGGGAAGGTGGCTCAGTGGTAGAGCGCTTGCCTTGCATGCCTGAGGCCCTGGGTTCGATTCCTCAGCACCACATAAGCAAAAAGAAAAAGCCAGAAGTGGCGCTGTGGCTCAAGTGGTAGAGCGCTCGCCTTGAGCTGAAGAGCTGAGGGACAGCGCCCAGGCCCAGAGTTCAGGCCCCATGACTGGACCAAAAAAAAAAAAAAAAGAAATTAATTTTAGCCGGGCGCTGGTGGCTCACGCCTGCAATCCTAGCTACTCAGGAGGCTGAGATCTGAGGATCGCGGTTCAAAGCCAGCCCGGGCAGGAGAGACTGTGAGACTCCTATCTCCAATAAACCACAGAAAACCGGAAGTGGCGCTGTAGCTCAAGTGGTAGAGCGCTCGCCTTGAGCTGAAGAGCTGAGGGACAGCGCCCAGGCCCAGAGTTCAAGCCCCACGACCGACAAAAAAAAAAAAAAGAAATTAATTTTCACTTGGTGCCAGGGGCACACACCCATAATCCTAGCTACTCAGGAGGCTGAGATCTGAGAATCGCTGTTCAAAGCCAGCCCAGGCAGGAAAGTCCGTGAGACTCTTATCTCCAATAAACCATCAGAAAACTGGAAGTGGCGCTGTGGCCAAAGTGGTAGGGTGCTTACCTTGAGCTGAAGAGTTGAGGGACAGCGCCCAGGCCCAGAGTTCAAGTCCCATTACCTACCAAAAAAAAATACTCATTTTCCCCTAGGTTATTAATTAAAGGTATTTATATTTGTGTCTCTGAAACTAAAATAATCTAATATCCTTCTTTTCTTGACACCTAGGCTCAGGTTTTTTTCTGAGTCCTTTCTGTGGTCCTCTTATTTAACGATGCTTTGCTCCACTCAATAGATAAGGAAAGGGAATATGTGAGATCTTGTATATTTGAACCAGTTCCACAGCAAGGTTAACAGTGTAGAAAGTACTTCTTGTAAATTGGTCTTGTTGGTAGACCTTTTTATAGTATGATATCCTGAAGGTTTGACATCAGGAAAACTTGGATTTTTCTTTGCTCCATTGGCTGTATTGAGTCCTGAGTTTTCCCCAATGGCTCCATTACCACCAGTCCTCAGAACTGATTCTTCTCTCTGTCTATAGGTGTCTGAAGAGCCCCTTGAAGATTCTCTCTCTCACCAATTGTCTGCTTCTGGAATCAGACTTGATGAATCTGTCCAAGTGCCCCAGTACAAGACAGCTAAGGGGACTATGTCTAAATAGGGTTCTCCTGATGGATATAAGTTCTGAGACCCTGGAAGCACTGCTAGAGAATGTCTCAAGCACCCTCCAGGTCCTGAGCCTAGAGGAATGTGGGATCATGAACCTTCAACTCACTGCCATTCTGCCTGCCCTGAGACACTGTTCCCAGCTCACAACCTTTAGCTTTTCTGGGAACCCCATCTCCATAAACGTGCTGTTGCGTGTCCTGCGCCACACCATTGGGCTGACCAAGTTAAGGCATGTGCGATATCCTGCCCCATTGGAGTTTTATGAGCATGTTGGAGATGGGTTGCTTGCCACCCTACACGCCAAGCTGATGCAAATGCTACAAGAGTTGGGGCGGTCAGACATGGAGTGGCTCAGTGGCAAACCCTGTCCTCATCGTGAGTGGCCCTTCAGTGACCTGTGGCCCATGCCTTGGTAGTGTCTGCACAGGTAAGTGGCCATGTCCACAGCTTTATTGAGGGCATGTGGACACTGAAACCCACAAATCACAGAAGCAACAGTTACAAAGAACTACTCATGGTAAGCAGGAAAAGGAAAGATGATCAGGGATAGAATTTAGATATTGACTTGGGGTAGTGTGGTTATTGTCAAAAATATTCTAAAGAGTTACAAATGAGAATCTGAAGTTTTAGATGGGTAGAGCAATGTATAAGAACTGCACCTACATGGATGAATGTAAAGAAATAGCCACAATTAAAGGAACCTTAATATAAATTATTTGGTATACTGTGTGATATATAAACCTGCTTCTGTAACTTAGAAGTTGGATATATTTTAAAGTCAAGGGTTGACAAAAGAAATTTGCTGAGAAATGATTGGCAGAAACATATTTATTAGGACACTATTAAAAGGACAATGGTGGCAGCGAGGCCAAGAGCATTATTGCTGGTGTTTGTGCTGCTCCTTTTGCTGCTGATATGAAGGTGCCAATGTGGGGTTGGCAACAGGCTTTTATAGAGTTACTGTTTTCTGTTTGTATCTCTTTGGAGGAGTCTTGCTCATTGGTCATTTTTTTTTTCTTGGAGAATAGTTTGGCTTTTCTGCATTTCATGGGGCCCATTTCATGTGCTTGTGTTGCCTCCACATTCCACCTTGGCTATGGGTATCTGTCTGCTATATCTCCTTAAGGGGAGACAGTCTTACTTATCTTCTTCCTGAAGAAAAGAACAAATCCAATCTTGGGTTTAGTGCTGTGATTATCTCATCTTAGATTTGCATGGAGCTGGTAGGGTCCTAAATATGTCCTAACCTACCTATACATTATCTTAGCAATCCACTGAGCCATGTCAAGATCAAGTTGATTTTGGAATAGAATTTTATGGCATCATGCTCCATGGAACAGAGAAGCACTGGAGGGTCAGACAGTATGCTGTACCCTGGTCACTAAACCTTTAGCCTAATGCGTGTAGAAAGAACACTGGGTAGGAAGTTAATAAAGTGAGTTCTAGTGTAAGAAAGGAATAAAGTAGTTGGGAGGTCAGTACTGTGAAGAAGTGAGGCCAGGATCTCCATGACCAGGTTTTTTCCTTTGAGATTCATCTGAGAATTGATAGGTTAATTTATCAGTGTTGCCTTGAGCTTGTCCTGAAATTTAACCCCAAAGCACCAGTCTTTCCCAAGCATAGCACAGGTTTCCTGGGTGACAGTTGCCATATCTAGAACTCTTCCATTTCTAAGACTTCAACAAGAGTCGATAGGTTTTTTACCAGTGAGTGTTTGAGCTAGTGTACTGAAAGCAAATGCTATTTGAAGAGATGGGTTTTTATAGATTAAAGAGAAAAAAATATGAATATGTAAAAACAGAAAATATAAACTTGAGGCTTATTTACATTAGTGTGTTTCTGTTCTTAATATGAATGTCCATATGAGGTCTCTCTCACAAAACGAGATCACTTAATTAAATTTGTGTTAGATTTAGGAGAGAGATAAATTATCTTTCTCAACCATGTCTTTAGCCAGCAGCCCCAAATGTCTTGGGAAAGTTAAATACTTTCCTTTGGGTCAGAGTGCAAGATGGTCACATCAATACAGAGGCAGAGTTAGTGCTTTCCAGGGGAAAGGAGAGGTGTTTAATTCCTTGGGAATTGAATTATATCAGAAAGTCAGGGGAACATATGCTGAAACTTTGTGGAGTTTTTTTTTTTTTTTTAATATAACTTCCCTGGAGCAAATTGTCTACCACAGTCTGTAATATATAACAGTGTTCACATGTTATATACCATGTTTGTGATCAGCAGCATGGGGATATTTAGTAGTGGTTCAACCAGATGAGCGGGAGTTCTTTGTTTCTTAAGTCCTGTTAGTTTTGTCGTATCACCTTTTGTGGAGTTTTAAACCTGGACATTAAATGTTTGTTCCGGGCTGATGTGAAATCTATGGAAGGCCAAAGTTACCCATGCAGGGAAATGGGGTAGAATGGCTCTGAAATGCTGGACAAATGAATAGAGCTTAAAGGAAATGTAAGCACCTGTGAGTAACCGAAGGCTGGGGGAGGATTCTGGGGAATGGTGGTTACCTCTGAGGAAATGGAAGGAGGATGGCTAGAAACCAGCTTGGATCATGAATATTGGGTGGAGTAAATCTGGGGATCATTGAGAATATCAAGGGAATCCTTTGTTTTAGGGAATAAGACTAGGAATATTTGACATCCATCTTGGAGGTCTTGAACTGAGATATATAAAGGTCTGGAGGTAAGGAAACTAAGCCCTTTTAGAGGAACCATGGCAGAAAATATGAAGTGGAGAAGTGTTGTTATGAATTAAAGTGCTGGGTTGAAGCCACATTTCTCCATCTTTCAGTTTGTGAACAAGTTAGGCCACATTACAAAGAAAAATATTTCTTTTTAAGCATTTCTGAATAAAATTTCCCTGTTTTTGAAAAATGCAACTCAGAGATGAGTCTTAGGGGATAGATGTGGTTTACTTCATGTTAAGGAAGTTTCTGATGCCCTTATGTCTTTGAGTTATCCCACCAGGAGAAAAAAGTTCCGTAACTCCCATAAATGTTAGGACCAGGGTGCTGCTCTCATTGGGTATCTCTCTTAGAGGGAATCTAAAATCAAGATATAACTCTCAGGAATAAGATGAACCATGTAATGCTGCTTTCAGGTTTGAGACTACCACTGAACATTACATGATGGTATGCAGTGCTGACTATGCCTGAACAGAGAAATGGATGGAAAAGGAGGCACCAAGGCCTGGCACCCAGACTCCTTTCACAAGGCAAAAATGTTAGTTTAGATAATGTCAAATAGTCCACCAATTCCTCAGTCCTAACACAGCCACAAATGATACCTGTCCTCTTTCCAACTTTGTCAACTTCTATTCATCCTGAGCCAGAGCATTCTGAAGGATACACTGGAAATTTCCACAGCCACTTTCATAAAAAGTTCCTGCAGAAAGCAAGGTAAAGGAAATCATCAAGCAGTTGTAGACCATGCAGACAGTCGAGGTCATACCATGGAACAAAGTTTCTAAAATTCCTATAAAGCAAGCACATGTTATACCCCATGAGGGCACATCTATAGGTACCTCTAAAGTGATTTTGAAAAGCAACAAAATACTGCTGAGCTCTGCAATATGCATATTCATCTAGATATGCAGCTAGCCAAGAGGACAGAGGAGGGGACTATTCCTTTATTGGGTCATCTTGGAGTAGGCAGTGTCCTAGAATCCTCTAATGTACTTTCGCCATAGGAAGTAGCCACCCAGATGTCTTTCCAGGAGAGTAACTAATGTCAGGGGTAAGCCTTCCTTCCTCACCACCATCTGCTTCTACACCTTCTGTAATATAAAGTGGCCGTTAAACACCTGATTGCTGTGTTTGACAACAAAGTCTAGGTGCTAAAGGGCCAAGAAACTGAAATCAGACCACCCATGTGGATACATCTCACATTGACCTGGCTTGTACTCAGAAATGTGATGAGAAGCAAGGGAGGACAGGCTGGAAATAAAGATGAGGCTTCAGAACACTGGCTCAGTGGACAGCCTGTGGCTCCTTGTGAACAGCCCAGGGTTGCTCTCTTGCTCTGACATGTCCCTCTGAGCACTGAGATTGTTTAAGCTGTAGAAATTCAGGTTACAGAAGAAAATAGTCACTTCTTTGAGCAATGCCCTTCAAGTAGATTTAGGTCACATCCTTGAGGTAAACAAAGAGAAAGACGAAGGTAATTTACACACAAGAAGAATTTACACCCACTGCCTACATGACACAGCCATTGGCACATTTTAAAACATCTCACATGTAAACAGATAACACAATTTAATTATTTCCCTCAAAATTGCCCCTGCAATACATCCTCTATACATTCTATAGAGAAAGCACTCCAATTGTTTACTGCCCTAATCAAACCTGGTTCTCAGGACCTTCAGTACTTTGCACACTACATTGAAGTCCAAGAAGTTCTGCGGTACCAAGAAATAAAGGTATTAGGGTTTGTGAGGAAGACCAAATAAAATTGAAGTATGTTCAAAGTCTTAAGTGCTTGGGGCTTGCACACCTCCAGATGGGAGCTGGGCTGGAATTGCACAACTGGGTTACTTCTCTAATTACAGTTCTAAGCCCGGGCCACCATGGAGTCCAAGTAGGCTCACACACAGGATCCACAGAACTCCTGTTACAGGGGAATGCCATCTGGCCCAGAGCCCAGCCAATCATTTTTAACCCTGTGTAGGCGTGGACAGAATTATGACCTAGTCAGAGTATAAGGAGCCAGGTGAACTCTTCTCCAGGAAACCAGGCCTGAGGGGCTGTGACATGGCAGCCTTTAACACTGAGGAGGTGTGGGTTTACCTGGGGTAAGGGCTGACATCCTCTTCAGAAGTGGTTTCATAGAAAGGCCGCCCAGTCAGATCACAGCCAGCAAGGAGGCATCCTAACCTGCAGTGCTCCTTTCTGTGTCTCCTCCTTTCACTGAGCCTCAATTCACTCCAGTCCTTACAGAACACAGGCTCCTAAGGAACATCATAAGTGTCACCAAGGCCTAGAACCTTCCTGAAGCTCTAGACACTGCCTACAGTGGTTTTGTACTTTCAGCATGAGAGGACAGGTAATGTTTGGTTGGCTTCCAGGTGTGAAAGTGAGTTCAGTGGGAGGGACTCCAGCCTTGTGATCTGATAGGTCACCTGCCTACCACTGAGAGCACATGTGGGCTCTTAGCCCTGCTCACATGGAAACACTCTAGGGCAGTGGCAATAAACCTGGTGTTCTGGAAGGATCTTGGCCTTTGAGATCCTAAAACCAGAGCTAGTTGTGATTTTGCATACCTGCATTTCCAGACCTACAGAAATGGAGGTAAGATCCTGAGTTCTAGGCCAACTTGGAGACTTTGTCTTGAAAAGAGAAAGAACAGGGGTTGGGGATTTAGTCCAGTGGAAGAGCACTTGCCTGGCAGGTAAAAGGTTTGAGTTCATTCCTCAGCTGTACAAACAACAACAAAAACAAAATGCAACAACAAAAAAGCAAAACGTTCAGATCTAGCTACGGCTCAGAAACAGATTAGTCTGTCCCCGTCCATGGTTTAGGCCATCCAGACTCCAGCTATCAAACCCCAATGTTCCTTTTCCTTCAAAGCAGCAGGAGTTTACCTGTGACAAAGAAACTTGACCCTTGAACCCCAGGCAAACAAATTGACTCTAGTGTCCTGTTGTGACTGTTTTCTGCTACAACAGCAAAAATGACTAATTGTAAGATTTAAACCAGCTAAATAGACCCATAAC